ATGAAGGTTTCATATCTGTGGAAACAGATCAGATTCTTGCAGATCAGATTCTTGATTACTTGCTAGAGTCGTTAAAAGCAAAAGCAAGGAAACAAACATCATCTTGGCGTTTTAAAAAATTCTTAGTGCTTTAGTAGTTTTTATTTTGCAACACCTGAAATAGTAAAAAGCTTGCAGTGTGCAGTTACTGAGCTACATAAGCTGAATGCATGCTGTTACTCTGAAAAAAGAAACTACAAGCAACTTCAACCTTTCCAAGATGACATGAAATAAAAAAAACCCAAAAACAACACAAAAACTAAAGGAGTATGATGCACTGATCAATCATGTATTTGGACTGCATTTATACAGGGGATGAATTTTTTTCTCTTTTGGTCAGCTGCGAACAGGAATCCTTGCTCTCTGGTGTTTTAATACAGATAACACCCTCTGTTATCTGCGCCAGTGAAGAACATCTTTAATTCGAAGTTGGCATTAGCTGGTCATCTTCATCCACTTGCCTCCAGATACCCTTCACATTAACCTGTGTTGGTCCTCGCAGAACCTGGATCCAGGTGGGGACTTTCCTGGCTGGGCCACTTCAGATTTGGCTACCAAAAAGGGCACAGTGGGGGTGGCTCTCATCTGGAGACCCCCTCACCAAGCTGGAATGCAAATCCTCCCCAAGGAGACCTAGGAGGGCCCTGAGATTCTGTCAAAAATGTGCATTGTGCTCATAATGACTGAGCTCCTCTAGCTATAAGACAGCAGCTTTTTAAAAATAAGGTCAAGTGGTCAGTGATGCAGAAGACCTTTATTCCTCTTTTCAGTAGAGATATCATATACTACCATTTTTGAGAGTTCAAAGGAGGATCACAAATAAATTAAGACAAAAGCCTGAGCATGGCCTGTGAGCAGTCGTCTTCTGAGCTGAGCACGTGTGGGATATGTGGAGGGATATGCTCTGCCAAAGAAAGAGAACAGCAGCATTGGTCAGTCATGCCAGTGCTCCATCAAGGAGCTGGCAGAAGACTTGGATTTGCTGGTCTGGAACAGACAAAGGGCTTTTCCACTTTTGAGCCTCATTTCTGTAAGAGGTGTCTTTGACTCAACGACTGTCCCAAAAGATGGAATTCTGTTGATTTTTCTGATGGATGTTGCTGCTGAATGACTGCGAAAAAGAAAATTATCCTGGAAGCATCTAACTTGGTGTGTCCTCATTGATACATTGATAGTGCCTGCTCCATTAGGAGTGATTTCTCCATGACTGCCAGTGGCACCTGCATACATCGTTGCTGTGTTACAGTAAGATGACTGCAGATACGACCAGTACTACATCACCTCTTATCAGTTATGCAAATACTAGAAATCTCACCACAGTTATATTGATATTCATTTCCAGTCTCCTACTTAAAAGCTTGTTTCATGCCTGGAGTAGTGAAGTCCTGTTGAGCTCTGTAGGCATTGCCTTAAGCACCATTTTAATGATCATTTTGATTGACATTACTAAATGGCTCTTGATTTCTAACTGTAAATCAAGTCAAATGGAGATATTTGCATAAGAGGTGGGAGTTGATGAAGTTGGTCTCTGGCTGTGTTAAAAGAGAGATGTTGGATAAAACTAGAAACCGTTAAGAGCTCCTGGAGGAAAATGTGTGAGTGTAGATCCCTGCTGGCAGTTTTAGACAGGAAGCATGCTGGTTACAGAGGAGCACTGTAGTGCCTGTTGAATTGCACTCTCCTTCAGACCAGGTGTGCAGAGCTGGTGCTGGGACAGTGGCAAGCAGTGATAGTGTAGGAAGGAGAATAATAATTCCTTACTTTCTTTCCAGGGCTGGCTCTCAGACTGAGAGGAGCAGACTGGGAGGAGGCTGCCAACCATGATGCTGCTTCTGCATAATGAAAAGGCATGAAGCTGTCTTCCAGAGTAAAAGATAAGTGTGTAATTCAGCTTTATGTTTAGGGAGTGACTGTGGTGGCCTAAGCGCTGTATGAAAACAAACCAACCAATGTGTTCTTATGTTTTCACTTTACTTATATTTAATATAATTAAGCTGATTTTTCCCCTTGTCTACCTTTCTATGGTGCCTTAGCACAACTGAAGAGAGGATGCAGGCTGGCCTTCCGAGGAACCCTGATGTAAAAATATGGGTTTACGAATGAGTCAGCTTTGCTTCACTCAAATGTCTATCCATTCTCTTTCATGGTTCAGTAGGTTGTACATTCATTCATTGCTTGGAAATTCTTGTTCAGCTAAAATGACACCTTTGGTCAACTGACATTTTGAAAATCCCTGCTTTATTTTTGTCTGTATTAATACTATTATCTCGTCCTTTCTCATCAGCAGATTTCAAAGCCCTCTGTCAAATAGGAGTGGCATTGTCCACTGTAGCTCAGTGCATGGGGGAGGAAGGTTTGTTCCAGGTGACAGAGAGGACAAAACCACCCAGATTTGGTGAGCTCCAGTCCCAGGATCTGGATTCCTGAGCCCATCACTTATAGGTGAGCTCCCCCTTGCACCTAATTCAGCAAACCTGCTCAGAGCACAAATTTCAGCTCGGTTGCTCATCCAGCACACACATTGAGTAGCTGTGAGTATTACTGGGAAGACTGGAAGAGGTTATTTGGGCAGAGAAACAAGGACAACGTTCACCCGGGGGGAGCTCTAGCTTCAGCTGGCACCCTCTGCACCAAAGGCACATGTGCACAGGCTGTGGGGCACAAAGCCGAGCAGCAATGTGAAGCACCTTTGAGTTTTGTGTGGAAAAGGGGGTTTACGCTATCTCCATTTATGGCAATGCTGCACAGCCGCTGGGTGCGGCCTGTTAATTCCACACATGAGCAGATTTGGCGTCCTCCCCCACCACAGGGTGTGTGCCCAGAGCCGGACCAGCCTGTGAGCTGCTGGCCATCTCGGTGCCATTCCTCAACACCACTCTTAGCCCTGGTCCTCTCTTGTCTCGCGGTCGTCAAGTGCCTACAGCTTGCTTTTTGCTTGCTGACCATCATTTTTGCCAGGCCAGCACAGGCAGCTCTTCCACCAGTCTGGAAAGCAAGGTTTCTCAAAAGGACCTGTTTATTCTTACTGACTAGAAGGATCACAGAGTAGGACCATGAAAAAAATAACTGTGGTGACCTGTCTGGCTTCCAGGTTAGTCTGTGTACTTGACTGATGAATAGCTCAGCAGTTCACAGTGCCTGTGGCATCAGTATCACATCTGTGAGGACAATGTGTCCTGCCGGCTTTGGAGTCACATGTTGTCGGGTTCAGTGACATCTGTGAGACTTTGAAGCACCTGACACTTGCAATTTGTCTTCCTCTTCCTTTTCAAAATAGGCAATGGATGGCTTAACCCACCCCTTGCAGCAGTTTTTCCCAACTGATTTACTCAGTGGCTTGTAAGGTTTTGAGTAGTAAGAATTTATAGTCTTTTTCTTGGGAAGGAAGCCACTTTCTTACTGCAACTAATGTCTTCCGCAGCTATTCTCATTAGCTGCATTAATGCAGGTCCTTGCTTGTCAGCCTCAGCACACTGCTAATGGTAATGCATTCCCAACATTAGTTATGATGGTTACGTGTGTGCGTGAGTATTTAAGTGTGCTGCCTTTTATTTTCAGTCTTGTATCATGAAAGAGGCCACATGGAGGTAAGCTTCCACTTACATTTCTTAGTTAGGGTGATGAAAACAATGGCACTACAATATTTTTACATTCCTTCTCCAGCCCTTTCCTGAAGCATTTTAATGTCTTGTGTGCTCTTTGCAGACATGCCCGAATGCTGGGCAGGCACTTTGTTATTGACAGCCTAAGAAAAACAAAAGTCTTCCTGCCGAATGGTTGTTGTCCAGCAAAAAAGCACACAAGAAATATCTTCCAATACGTATTTTTCAACTCTTACTTTGTCTGCTACCACATTACTGACTTTTGCCTCTTTTTTAATTATTTTTGTGCCAAAATCTAAACATTGCTGTGTGAGTTTCCTTCCTGTTCCAGATCTCTGATTAATGTATTGTGTGGATCTGTGAGCGGCTATTGGGGCATCACACTCTTCGCATTTCGCTGTTATCAAATGCTGGGATTCTTTGTGTGGTTTCTGCCTTATGACAGACCATTTCTACACAATCTCTGTTTTTACTTTCTTTTGTTTTGTCAGATACATCTCCAATGAATGAAAAATGAGTCTTGGCGTTAAGTACTTCTGGAACAAAGAACATTCACTTTAAAGATATACTTTTAACCAAGATGCTTCAAATTTGTTCACACATGCTGGAAAATAAGGTTTTTTTAAAACACTTTTATTCAAAAATATTTTGAACATTTTCTATGTTAATTAAAATACAGAATTGCTATCTTGAATTACAGTGATAAAGTAATTCAAAATGTCTGTATATATACTTACACGTAGGCATATGTGGCAACTTGGATACTTAAGGGAAAATGTGTCTATAACACAATGTAATGCATTTGCTTTGCGTCTTTGTATGCATAAATATATTTTATGTCCTTTTTTTTAATGACAGAGGGTGTATCCTCTCCCTGAGATGAAACATTTAACAGCAGGTACTGTTAATAGCTTGCTGAGAGTCAGAGCGAACAAGTCCTACACAGATCAACTGTAGAATAAAAAAATATGGTAATAACCATCCTTCTTGAATAAATGAATGTATTTTCCAAATGCCTATCTCTCCTCTGCCCCTCCATGCAGGCCAGCGTCTGTTTTGATGCTGGTGAAAAAGAAGCAGCATGGCACAGTGCTTTGCGGAGAGCTGAGGCTGCTGTTACATCTGAGCAGTGATTTGTAATCACAGCAGATAAAACTTGCTTGTCCATCTCCTACGTTTCACATCTAGGACACCTTCTGTCATAATATTCAGAAAATCTAGAGGCAGAAGTCAAAGCTGAAGTAAGTAATTATCCGACACTAGCTTATTGTTAAATGCATGTGCACTTGCTTAGCTTTTCAAAGTTCCTGCTTTTGTCAGTTTGCTTGCTGCTGAGTTCAGTGGTTGGTCTGAAACACATTACAGAGCGTCTTGATCCCCCGTAGATTGTGTGTGGAATGAACTGGTAGATTCAGTGTGGTAAGTGATGTGAACTCCACACCACTTGCACATATCTCCAGGTAACCGCCAGTTCTTAAAGAGCATCTTCAGGTACTTCTTGAATTTTTCCCCCATGAAGAAGTAGATGACTGGATTGAGGCAACAGTGAAAAAGGCCGAGGATTTCTGTTACCTGGAAAGCATAGTCCAGATTCCTGCTCACTTGACAGTCTCTAATGACTCCTGTAATTTCCAGCAGTTGTAAGAAAATAACAATGTTGTAAGGGGTCCAAAAGAAGAAAAACACAATCATGACAGCAAAGATCATCCTCACAGCCTTATTCTTTTTATCATTTCTACAGTGAACTAATGTTTTAATGATCATGGAGTAGCAAAATGTCATAACTATAAAAGGGATTAGGAGCCCTAAAATGTTGATTTCCAAAGTGGAAAAAAGTTTCCATGCCGTGAAATTGCCTGGATATCTTGGCTTGCAGGTAGTATAATTATGTTCGTTAAAAGATTCTCTAAATACAAGTTCTGGAACTGAGGCTGAAAGAGCTACTAGCCATACAACAAGGCTAGTAATCAAGCCATGGAAGGCAGTTCTTGCTTTCAAAGAAAACACTGCACGAACAATTGCCAGGTATCTGTCTATGCTCATAAGCATAATAAAAAATATCCCGCTGTAAAACCCAACCAGGTAGATCCACGAAATGATTTTACACCAGGGAGTTCCAAAAACCCATTGGTCTATTGTGAAATAAGACCAGAACGGCAAGGATAAAACAAAGAGCAAATCTGAGATGGCGAGGTTTAATAGGTACACGTCAGTCATGCTCTTCAGCCTCTTGTATTTGAAGAGGACCACAATGACCAGAATGTTTCCCGTGAGCCCGACCAGGAACACTAGGGTATACAGAACAGGTAGGAAGAAGGCTGCAAACCTCTTGACGTTTTCCTTACTGCATGGTTTTGGAGCATCATTATAATTATCGTAATATTCATAGATGGTTGAGATTTCAACTTCAAAGGATGCTGTACTTGAAGAACTCATGTTTTTTCCCCAGTTCCTGAGAAGGAAAGAATATAAAAATGTCAGTGACTTCCAGTGCATGAAGACCATGTGGTTACTCGGCAAGCCTGAATCACTAGCGATGACTAACTTGCAGTTCCAGTGCACTTCTCATTACAGGTTTTCAAACACTATTTAAGCATTATGGGATGCATATACACACTTGCAAAATGTACTGTCCTTAACATGCATGTGTTTAGTCCTTGCAACACTGTGCAACTTGGATGTCAAGCACACAGAACACTGGTCAGATGGTGGAGAGGAAAGCAAATAGGAATGAAAGATACGGACCACAGATATCCAATCAGAGAGGGATAAATCCTGTGTGGAACAAAGTAAAAAGCAAAGCCACTATTCATAGCAGTTCAGGATTTCACCCACCTTTCCAATCAGGCAAACATCACCATAAGAAGACAGTAATAAAAATGCATCTGACTCTTCCTTCTAATGAAATTACGCTTACTGAAAGCTGACATGAGTTTTCAGTAAGCGCTGTCTTCAGCGGCTAAATGAATAACAGGAATTGGTCATTTTCGTATGTGTGTTCTTTTCTAATAGGCAGAGACAGAGTTTTAAGTGATGTTACTTTGAGGTAAGTAATTTGGACACAGTGCAAATATATTGCTGATGTATTACTGTGTGTGTTATTCGCATCGCAGCAAGTGTCATTTTTTTAGCCTCACATACCAGAATTGTTCTAAGCCTGAGTTATGTCCTTCCCCTTTGTCTTTATTTTTATGAATGGAAAGCAGAAGAAAAGTGAGTATCATTGCTTTATTTGTCATTGCACTGTACAAAACAATGAATATCGAATGTCGTTAACCTGACCCCTACTGTGTGTAGTCCCAGGCATGACACCTCTCCAGCCTACAGTTCTGTTCTGTTATACACAGAGAGGAATTTAATCTGAATTACAAGTCACAGGGACAAAACTGTTTGACACCAATGATCTAGAGACGACAGCTTTGCAGCAACTGCACCTAGACATACCCGAATCTAATCTAGGTTCAGCATAATATACTTAAATATGTAAAAGTGAAAAGATACATTCACATAACACCCATACACCCACCTCTGATGATGCAGGAGTTCTTAAAACTGCTTTAAAAATTACCTGAGCAGTAACAAAAGTTAAATGAAAAAGCATTACAGTCCCACACAGGATGAGCGTACATAATGCACAACTGTTTCAGCAGCTGCATTTTGTGAATTTTACCTTTTCTCCTCCTTTCTTCTCAGATGATGTGAAGAAGCTTCTTTGCTCTAAGGGTGCAGAATCACTTGCTTCTCACCAGGTAGCTCTGTCAGGGAGGTGCTGCCTACATAGTGATATCCAGCAGCTGCAAAAAGCAGATGTCACTGGGTAGCTGTCTGTCTTAACGGAAACTTCGTATTTCCTTACAGATTGTATCACAAGTGCTTCTCTTCTCATTGCTCATCAGAGGTGGTCCCTTAAACTCAGAAATTAAATTAAACACATCTTATAATGTGTAAGGAAATGGAAAGTTTCTACTGAGAGCCTGATTACTGAGTTAAAGCAGCTTCATTTTATCTGATAATCATTAAAAGTAAATGTCACTAAGCAGCTCTCATTCAACAGAAACCTTGTTCTTTCTTATGGATTGTAAAATGCATCTTAATCTCGGAAAAAAATAATCAAAAGATCATCTGTAGTGAGCGGAGAGGAGGAAGACGCTTGGTGGGTGCCTGGGAGGTGTGTTTCTAGTCCTCCTCTGCCAGGTAACTAATTTTGCAAGTTACACCATGTAATTGTAGAAGAAAAGAGCTGTATAGATTTAGCGTAGGAAAGGCTCCTTTTATTCATTGTTGTTTGATCTTCCTAACTCTTACTTGTCTTGCTAAGAATAGAAATGAAGGTATGTTAATTCACGCTACCTTTTTGCTTGATGTCTCCCGTAGCAGGTTCTATATGCAGCAAATATACCTCCTACCACTGACCCGGCACAAATGGTAATAGTGGTCAAAATATCAAATAAGAAGAAGGATATGTGCACGTGTCTGTGGTGTAAGGGCGGAGGGTGCGGAGGTTTACAGTGGTTTTTGTCACAGCAGGAAGGTCAGTGGCTTCTATGAATTTCTCCTGAGAGTGCGGTGGGCTCTACCTGTCTTTTGGGGGATCCTGGGAAGGGAGAAGAGAGCATAGAGGACATGCGCTAGTCAAATGGGATGGTTTTGAGTCCTGCCAGCAGAACAGCTGTACTAGCAGCTGGCAAGTGCTGCTCTCCTCTCCCAGAAAAGGCCAGCCAAGCAGAAGTAAAAGCCATTTCTCAACAGGAGAGGCTGCTTGCTTGTTAGCAGGAGAGACTGAAGAGTCACAATGAGAAGCAGAAACAAGAAAGCTACAGGATGTGGTTGGGAGGGTAGGAAGAATCATAGACCTCAGTCCAGGAGAAGTGATAGGTCTTCCAGGTCATCCTCCTGTATTATTCCAGACACAGGTATAGGTTTTCTTTCAGTTATGCTATTTGCTGCTATCCTATATGCCTCTGACATTGTTACTTTGCCCAATAACTTACATTTGGCTGAAGTGTTTCTTCCAGAAAAGCTTGATGTGAAGACAGCATGATCTACTGGTTTCATGTTTCGCCAGAATAAAGTATTTGTATGGGAAGTAGCTTCTCAGTCGCCTTTCACAAGCTGCATCTGTGGGGATTTTTAAATCTATCACTGGGAGATGTTCCTCCAGTGCAGGTTATTGCCCTGCAGATCATGTACGTCTTCAGCTTACTAGCAGTCCTTTAAAGAGGTGAACGTCAGATGAGCAGGCAACACTGTGGTACCAGTTTCATCAACTCTGCTCACAGAAGCTAGAAGCTGTTCCTCTTGCTGCTCTTTTGCCCATGTAAGGGCCTCATTAATCTCTTCTTTTACATGTTGTTGCACTAGGGGCATAAGTTCAGCTCTTCACCCACCACAACAATGACACAAAATCTTTCTTTAAGCACCTGCTTTTCAGGAAAAAACACCTCTTGCTCTGTAGGCATTGTTCTTTCTTAGTTCTTGGCTGTAATGCTTTTGCCTCAATAAACCACCACGCATCTGCATGCCTATTTTGTCCCACTCATTGCTTTCTACTCCATCAAACTAGGTGTCTGCTTTGAATTTCATCAGTGGTGATTTTTCTTGATTTCCAGATGAAGTAGTGAATAGAATTGAATCCAGATAAAATCTTTCTTCTACCCTGTAAGAAACCTTCTTGGTTAAGGGGTGATTTCCCATTACTAGTAACCTTTTGAGGTCTGTTGATCTGTCCTGAGCACACACGCCACGCTTCAAATACGCTTCTGATTTTTTCAATCATAATGTAACCAGGGACCAAGACTGCAGCCTTCTGAATGCCAGTTTAGCTTGATTCATATGGCATTGGCCTGAATAAAGGACCTGACTGGCCTATTGCATTTTGCCCAGTCCTTCCTTGGAAGAAAGACTTTCAAGTAGCGAATGCTTCCTAAGCAGCTTTCTGCACCTGCTCACTGTCTTGGGTGGAAAGCTGGGCTGCTACGACCAGAGGATTAGCGCAGCAAAGGCTTCTTGTCGGGGCATGTGTGTGTGGCTGTGGTGAGGTGAGGAAAAATGGCTGGATCACACTGTCTTGCAAAGCAGCAATTGTGTTGCTGTAGCCTGCCATACCAATGCATTTCATGCTGCATCAGCAAACAGGAAGGTCTGTCTTTGTAAGGAGACTTTGAGCAAGAGCGTGTCTGCAGAAAGAAGAATGCTGAGCCACAAAAAAGAGAAGAATGGTTGTGGCTACAGATGATGAAAACTTAGGATGTATGAACTCCAGAAAATGAAGCTAAAATGTATCTATCTGCCAGTTCATGAAAATCAAGAGGATAAAAATGAACCCAAGCACCTTCTGATGGCCTACCAATGAAAAGAGTCCCTGGGAGAGCCTGTGAGGAAAACTGCAGAGAAGACCAAAAAAAAAAAAAATCTCTGAGCAAATGAGATGATGCAGAAAATGGATGAAAGGGTGGTGTGAGTGAAGGTCTTGCAATGGCTTGAAGAGAAAGAAGAGTGAAAGGGATTAAGTATAACTGTAGTCCATAGTGGGAGAGATCTAAAGTCCCCTTGTAACATGACAGCGTGTTTTTTTCTAGCTCCTCCTCGGAGAAGAACCTGTCAGAAACTAACAAAAGGAGGACAGCAAGCGGCCACAAAGTTAAGAGGAAAGGGGGAAGGGATCTCAATGAGATGTAGAGGATGTTGCTGTAAATCTAGCAGGCTGGCAGGGGAAGGGGAGAAGAAAGAAGTCATCTTACCTCTTTACTAGATGGTATTAGGTATGTGGCACTGACCAAGTAAATCACAAGAGCGCAGAGAAGTGGACCAAACCTGATTAGCCTGACTGGGAGGAGATTAACCTTTTATGTAGGATGAGGAGGGGAGGCACATTAGAACCAACAGAAGGGAACTTAATAAGAATAAAAAGCAGAACAACCCAAACCATGAAAACCTTGTTTCTCGCCAAAAGATGATTTCAGCCACTCCCACCTTTTACAAAAAGTCTTATCATTAACTTGCCATTTTACAAGATGCAGAAGAGTCTTGCCCAAGGAAAGACTGGAGATACACATTTCTCTAACTCACTAGCTAGGCTACTAGCTAGGATACTCACCCCTCATATACCACTGCACCATCCATTCCCTCTGATATCAGTGTTGGCCATGGATAGATGATTCAGAAGTGAAGTCCTCATCCAGGAGAGAGGCAGATGACGGTAACTAAAGATAGCCAACTATTGCAAAAATCAGTATTTTGATAGATTGTGTGGATCAGTGCAGGATCCAGGCCGCCAAAGTCACAGCTGGACAAACAATCACCCTTCTCAACAAACTGTCCTCTCCATCAGGCGACCAGCCCCTTCTTCCATGGTCAGGCCTTGTGCAGTTCTTCTTTTGGTATTCGAGTGGATTTGAATTGCAGTTTGCACATCTGTGGTTCCAATCTTTGCTTGT